AATAGGTTTTCTCTAGGAGATCCTCTTTGGTCAAGGTCTCATTACAAAACTTGAGAAGTGATCGGATTCAATAAACTTCAGAATTATACTTATTCACGGACAAAATAAATGGAGAAGATGTGATTAGTATGATGGAGAAGAATATCAATCCATTCACATAGGAGTAGAACATTCAGGCTCTAATAGACATGTATTTGTTTAAATTTGCATGAAAAAAAGCTTCACGTTTTCATGGGTGATGTTTTTAAGGAAAACTTCAGGTTTTCAAACAAGGCATGTTTCTAGAAACTTTAGATTTTGAAATAATTATGAACTTCAGGTTCATATGTTCCTGCAGACAAATACAAATATATATATATATATATAGAAATATGCAACAATAAAATAGGCAAATAGAACTTCAGCTCTATAATTAGAATTGAATTAATTATTTGGTCTTCGGGCCAAATTAAAGTGTGGGTGAAAAAATTATGAAACCCAAAAGTACCTAAAAAATTAAGCAATAAACACTAGGGGCCCAAAATAATGGGCTAAAGCCCACGGGTGGCCTAGAAAAAATTAAGTTGTGAGGTCCAGGCCCAAACTTGCGTTGGAATGGGCGGATCAAGCCAAAGGGTTTCAGGCCCAAGGTAGCAAACGGGCTACCAAGGAAAGCTGGGCCTAAAATAGGCCTAGGCGAGGGTGCCGATCTAATACGGCAGGGAGCACGAATGCACTGGTGAAGCTAGGATCTAGTGTGTCACAGCTTAAGAAATCCACAACAGTCATATGGGTTGGGTTCCACTGCAGCAAGGACACCAAAGCCCAATTGGGCTGGTGTCGTGAGTGGGTCGAGAGAATGAGGTTTGTAGTGGGTTGCGACATGCAAACCTTAAAACCAATGCTAGTTTAGATTGGGCCGAGAATTACCAAAGCTCAAGAGGGCTGGGTCTTTGGACTAGAAAAACATCCCAGCCGTGTGTTGGGTGTGCTCGTCAAGGAAGAACACCAAACATGTCACTTCCGGTGGCAGTCTGCGGTTTTGGTTCACTGTAGAACCACTTCCCAAGTGACGGAGAGTGAAATCTCGACATCGACAAACCAAGAAACCTCGGGTTCAAGTTAAGGTTGTCGAACTCTAATGAGATTACGAAAATCTTAGCCAAAATTTTGACAGGGATGACTTCAGGTCATAGGGAAAGGCAGTCATGGTGGCTGGACACGGCTGCAAGCATGGACGGATCCATATAGGGATCCGGGAGGTCCCGGGATCCTCCGGAAGCCCGAAAAAACACTTGTGATCGACCTACGGGACCCTCCAACAATTTGGGCAGGTGTTGCAGAGAGGCAAGTTGCCTCCATGGATGTGCATGCAGTAGTGCTTATAAAGAAGAAGAAAAGGTTTCTAATTTTTGTTTTAATCCTCCAAATCGTTGCAACCTCCCAACTTTAAACTCAAGTTACCCCATCCCCGAGCACCATTTGCCGTTCCACCACCTCTAGCTGCCTAATTTTATTTCTTCCAAATTCATTTCACAGAGGCATTTCAGCTTTCTCCTGCCCACAGTCAAGCAGACTCACTAGCTTGGAGCCTCGAACCCGGGACCTCCCTGTTTTTTGTATTTTAAGAGCCAAAATCCGCGTCCTTACCACTTGACCACTTGATGTGGTTGATTAATTTTGATTATTCAATTAACCAAATTCAATAAAAAATAGTGCTATGGAACCAAACTAGTCTAATATATATTTTTTTTTGAACTTTTATCTTGGGACCCCCCGATCTTGAAATCCTAGATCCGCCACTGGCTGCAAGCTATGCTTTTGTCAGAAAATCAGTGGTGACGCCGGTGATGGCGTCGGGTTCTAGGTTTAGAGATTAGAGGGCTCCATGGTCTCGGCTTGCTCACTGGTGTGGGTTCGAAGAACCTTAGAAAAGAAAATTTCTTATTTTTTTTTCTTTATTTCCATAGTATAATACAATGCATATTGACAAATAATTTAATGCATGAGCAGATATAGGATGCAATTCATGGAAAATATCAAATTCACATAATTCAACAATTATGGATATAATGCATACACAAGTTATGTAGAATCTAGAATTAGAAAAAGGTAAAGTTGGGTCATGCATTATGGGGAATGTTCATGCTATTAGGGCTGCAAAAATATTGAGATAAAAAACGTTGTTTTGGACGAACATGATTGTGTGATGATATTGGTGAACTAGTTTGATGCAAAAAACTTTCACGTCAGATTCCTAAGTGCAACGGTAGGAGCGTGCTGATAATGTATTGTGGCCTATTTTATCTGACAGGGGAAGGGGGCCAGCAGCACACAAAGAGAAAATGGAGAGAGATGTGTTTGTAGGGTTGTGTAGAGGAATGTGTGTTATTCCCCTTACGCAAATGCCTTTATTTATAGTAACAAGAGGGAGAAGAAATCCTTCTCCTCCAAGGAATACAAATCCTAATAGAAAAGAATAACTAGAATCAAATCTAATCTAGGATTTAGACAATCACACTTAAATAAGAAGTTTACAACAAAAGCAATAAAAATACTAATTGTCTTAGCAAAAACAATTTTTTTTTTTTGAACAAATGATATTATCTACATTAAGGGGGTGGGGGAATGGGTTAAGTCTCACAATGAGCTAGTAATAATGTGGTTCAAATTTGCCTTTGGCGAGAATCGAACCTAAAACCTCTCACTTACAAGTGAAAAGGAATACCACTAGTGAGAGGCTAAGCTCATCCCTTCCTCCCTTATTGTAGATAATATCGTTTGTTAAAAAAAATAAAAATAAAAAACTCGGAGTATTTCATTCTCAAGCACCCCTAAATTTTTTGGGCTTGAAAAAATAGGGTGAATACCTAATTAATTAGCTACTAAGAAATCAGTATTTGAGAAGTCAATTAACGAACACATGAATAGCAGTTAAGCAGTACAAGTGAGCTACTTATAGCATTGATTGCAGGCTAAGGTCACTGTTCAGGTTTAACCAAATAACCACTAAACTAATCTTCAAAATTAACAATTGGTTAATAGCCTAACACACCCATAACTTGCTAACACCAACATGTTTATTTTGAAACTTAAGTTATGGATAGATTTGTCTTCTTTCCTGTTTAGATGGTTTGTGGGTGGTAAATTCAATCATTGGGCGTGCTTGATTTAAATCAATCTTGATAGCATACCCTAAACTCTAAGGGCGAATTCAAATCAAATTATTATGGCTAACTTATTGTGAAGTTTAGCCCACTCATTCATCTCTTATTCTAATAGTATCAAATGCATTAAAAAAAACTAATCCAAGCAATTTACAGAGTTGCTTGCTCATACATTAAGATTTATTAGTTATAACTTCCTGCATGAACAAAATGTGTACACACAAGTGTACATGAACGTTCAAGCGCTAACGAGCTAGTAACTTAAAACGGTCATTGTTTAGATCATTATTAAATGATCAACCCTGCAAAAAATCAATGAATAACACTCTAGATTGCAAATTGTATAACTTTTAAGTATTCATTCATAGATCATCAATTTAAACCATTTACCTACTTGACTCTCATAAGTAAATTTTAGTGTTTATCAATTTGACTAATATTGGGAAAGAATAATCTATGCATTAAGACTTGAAAAATGACATAGGGTGGGTTATTCTAGTGGTTAGAGTTTTCCTCTTTAAGCAACTGCATATCGGGTTTCAAACTCTCCCCCTCCCCCGCTCTCCCTTTCCTGTAAATTAGACGAGGAATGTTACAAAGACCACGTTTCTATACCATATTAGTGTTATGTGCCAAGTGATGTATACAGCTATCATCCAATGAGATAAATTCATTAATTCTCATGGTATGTACACATCACTTGCCACATCAAATAGTACACAAAAAGTAGTACAAACAAGTGATCTCCCCAGCATTTTCCAAATTAAAATATATAGCAATGTTGCTTGTACTGAAAAAACTTCAAAAAAAAAAAAAAATAGACGACTCATCAGATCAAATAAAATACAAGCCTACCAATAATCCCTATTTCCCTCTCCCGAAGCTACCAAGTATATTTATATACAATTCTTTTTTTGTTAGAATGTATATATTAAAGACAAATTAGTGCACCAATTAATAGTAAATTGTCTTTCCTAACAACAAATACAGATCTTATAATAAGAAGAGCATGCATTAAGCATTTGTATATATATGTATACAAATCAACATTTGTCTAGGTTTAAGTATCTTTCCTACACATTAACCCAAAGCTTAGGCATAAGAAAATGGTACAATATCTGCGCAATCACCAGAGGAAGAAATGTGAACAGAAATATCTCACAGAAGATGAAGAGTATTGTCACACCTTCCTAATTTTCTGTGTTTGCAAAAGATAAAGGCCCAGGCTTCTCTCTTTCTTCTTTCTTGTAGCTTCATATTTTTAAGCCCCCATCTCTTTTACTCTAACACCGGTTTGTCTCTTGTACGTAAGTCTTTCTCTCGTGTTGGTCTCCCTAGAATTTTATTTCCATTATTTATTTATATTCTTGTTTTGTTATTTAACATGTAGTTGCTATTGGTTTTTGCAGCTTCAACAAAATTATCTTCTTCAATCTCTAAGGGTTAGTACTCTCTTTATCCATTCTCTTCATATTGTTTGTTTAATTGTTAAATATTCAATTTAAAGTGGAGATAGTCCGTTACATGCTAGTAGACCGACCCAACTCTCATTTGTCTTTGTTTGTCAAACTTGTCTTTTTAAAATAAAATAAAAACATTTGTTAATGGCTATTCTTTTTAACCGCTTAAGTGGGCCCTTCGGTGATTTTAAATTCTTGTGATTGCAACTTATTCGTAAAAGGCCGAGCTAAATCGAATATCAATGTTCTTAAGCTCGGCTCTTGTGTAACTTTTTCAAATTCGAGCTGGGCTTGACTTACCTCTCATACGAGCTGAGGTCTCGATGCCAAATTCGAACGAAAACATAGTTGTGATTATTGTCGGTTTTATTTTGTAATTTGTTTTGATTATTGTCGGTTTTATTTTGTAATTTGTTTTGTAGTTCCATTTTATTTATATTAACATGTAGTTGTAATTGGTTTTTTTAGATTCAAGAGAATTATCTTCTTCAATCTCTAAGGGTAAGTACTTTCTTCTTCCTTTTTCTTTAGATTATTGGTGCGCTAACACTTCCTTTTTTTTTTTTAACCTCATGCCCTACTTTTGAGTTAGAAAAACTGTTATATTCAGTTTGAACGACTCGTTACATATTCACAGCCCCACCTAACTCTCGTTTCTCTATCTCCCAAACTAAATCTTTCGTAATATTTTATGTTCTATAATAAAACTGAATTGCAATATCTCGTTTGGCTACAGGAATGATAGTATGTGACAGAAGCAGTTTCCGATCAGATATTTGTATCATGAAAGGGGATGTAAGAACACACTCAGCCTCCTCTTCTATCTTTGTGTACGAATCCACACACAGAACTAGCTTCATAAATTACGTTGCAAGCATTCTTAAGGAGAAGGAAGAAGAAGAAACTGTCGAAGAACTCCAACACGAAAAGATCAAACCATATACCCGAAAATGGGAAAAGAGTACAATGGACTGTTGGGGGTTTAAAAATGCTTCACTACTTGGAGAGGTTTATCTCACAAAGAAAAATGTAACGCAGCGGAATTGATAGGCAAGAGAAAGAAAGAATTCTCAAAGTATTACACAAGGTTTTTATTCACTCACAAACTTAGTACAAAAGGAAACACTCAAACACTCTTAGAAGCTTTGTTGCTTCTTCTTACTTCTTACTTGACACTCTCACTTCTTGCTACTTGCTCTCTTTGTTGTTACAAATGGTGTGGATGCCTTCTCCTTTTATAGGCATGGATGGAACCTTGGAGAAGCATGAAAATATTATGCTAAAGATATCTAGATAATTCCACTACCTTCCTAAGCTAGAATTATCTACACTAATCTTGTATGTTGGTGGAATCCTCACCATTCTTCTAGACTCTTCTACCAACTTGAACTTTGCTAGAATTCTCTAGCATGTGCATGGATCTTTCTTTGTGTATAGGCCGGATCAATTATCTTTGGGCCAAGACAAGATTACAATTTAACATCCCCCCTTAATCTTGTCTTGTGACGCCAATTGAGTTTCTTAGTCTGACAAAGTCTTCTTGTTTGAGTGGCTTGATGAATATGTCGGCAACTTGGTCTTGAGACTTCACGTATTCCACTTGCACATCCTTTCTTGCAATGCACTCTCTTAAGAAATGATAACGGGTATCTATGTGTTTGCTTCTGTCATGGAATACTGGATTCTTTGCTAGAGCTATTGCAGACTTGTTATCGACATAGATCTTTGTTGGCTCTTCTTGTCGCATTCTTAATTCTTTCAGCAAGTTTCTCAGCCAGATTGCATGGCAGACACATGAAGTAGCAGCTACATATTCAGCTTCGCAGGTAGAGAGAGTGACAATCGGTTGCTTCTCCGACATCCATGTGAATGCAGTGTCTCCCATGAAGAACACAAATCCAGTAGTGCTTTTTCTATCGTCGGAATCTCCTGCCCAATCACTGTCGCTATATCCAGCAAGTTTGTAGTTATCAGAACTTGAATAAAACAAGCCAAAGTTAACAGTACCTTTGAGGTATCGAAGAATTCTTTTGGCCGTTTTCAAATGTGTAGTTGTGGGATTCTCCATGTGGCAACTGATTAATCCGACAGCATAGAGAATATCTGGTCTTGTGCAAGTCAAGTAGCGCAAGCTTCCAACTAGGCTTTTGCAAAATGTTGGATTACGCTTTCTCCTTTGTCATACTTGGTTAGTTTGACTCCATACTCTATTGGCGTGCTCACGGGTTTGCAGTTGTCCATTTTGAACTTTTTCAGTATCTCCTTTGTGTAGCTTTCTTGGGAGATGAAAATTCCTTCTTCGTTCTGCTTGACTTCAATGCCTAGGTGATCTCAAATTCTTTGGTCATCACTCTCTTGAACTCTTCAAACATGCTTGGATTACTCCCGGTGAAGATTAGATCATCCACATATAAGCACACAATCAAAATATCTCCATCTTTGACTTTGACGTAGAGAGCATGTTCATGAGGGCACTTGATGAAGTTGTTTTCTTGAAGTACTTGTCGATGCAACTATTCCATGCTCGTGGCGCTTGTTTTAACCCATAGAGGGCTTTCTTCAGCTTCAGAACTTTGTCTTCATGCCCTTTGATCTTATAGCCTGACGGTTACTGAATGTAGACTTCTTCTTCAAGGACTCCATTTAGGAAGGCGGACTTCACATCCATTTGTTGAATCTTCCAACTATTTTGAGCTGCCAAAGAAATTAGTAATCGTATAGTTTCCAACCGAGCAACGGGTGCGAATACCTCATCATAGTCGATTCCGGCTCTTTGACTATAGCCTTTCGCCACTAGTCTTGCCTTGTATCTTTCGACCTTTCCATTGGCATTTTTCTTTGTCTTGTACACCCACTTGACTCCGATGGCTTTGTGTCATTTTGGAAGAATAGCGAGTTCCCATGTATCATTCTTCTGGATTGCTTCAATTTCTTCATCCATTGCTTTCCTCCACTTAGTATCTTGCACTGCTTCTTGGAAGTCGACTGGTTCACAATCAGCAAAGAGACATAAAAGTGTAGGATTATCAAGTCTTTCAGCTACCTCATAAAGATCTCGTATACTTCTTGTGCGTGGTACTTCTCTTTCATTTAGACTCCTACTTGACAATGCTGATGCTGATGAATTACCATGATTGGTTGATGTTGGTGAAGCAGGTGGAGTAGTGGATTCTTGTTGAACCTCTCTTGCTTGCTCCATCATCCCTTGTTCATTCTCTTCTTCAAATTGAGGAAAGAAGTGAAGATCACCTGCATGCGGGCTAAAATCCCATTCTCCTTCTTCATCGAACATCACATCTCGACTGATCACCGTTTTCCCATTGTTTGGATTATACAGCTTATAGCCTTTTGAATTGGTGTCATAGCCGATGAAGATGAACTTCTCACTTTTGTCGTCGAGTTTGGTTCTCCTCTCGTCTGGTACATGTATATGGGTTATGCTTCCAAAAACTCTTAGATGAGAAATACCTGGTTTTCTTCCACTCCATGCTTCTTGCGGGATTTTTCCTCACACACTCCTTGTTGGAGACCGATTGGATAGGTAGACAGCACATGCTACAGCTTCTGCCCACAATTCCTTAGGCAATTTCTTGCTTTTGAGCATGCTTCGAGCCATGTCGAGGATGGTTCGATTTTTTCTTTTCGCCACTCCATTTTGTTGAGGGGATCTTGGAACTGTCAAAGGTAGACGAATTCCATTTGCTTCACAAAACTCTTGAAATTCCTTCGAAGTGAATTCTCCTCCTCGATCAGATCTCATGGCTCTGATCTTGCAACCACTCTCATTTTCTGCAGCGGCTTTGAACTTCTTGAATGCTCCAAAGACTTCTGATTTCTGCTTCAAGAAATACACCCAGGCTTTTCTTGAAAAATCATCAATGAAGAGAAGGAAATAATTATTTTTACCCAAAGAGCTTGGTTTTATTGGACCGCACACATCGGTGTGAATGAGCTCGAGTGGCTTCTGGGCTCTTGTGGTTGACTCCTTTGGAAAGCTTTTCCTGAACTGTTTCCCAAGTAAATATCCTTCACAAACTTGATCAGGGTGGCTGATGCACGGTAAGCCTCGCACCATCTCCTTCTTAGATAATAACTCCAATCCCCCAAAGTTAAGATGCCCAAAACGAAGATGCCAAAGGCAAGATATGTCTTTGTAACATATCTTGAGACACTTTGCAACATCGTTTTGAATGTTCATGGGAAACATCCTATTCTTTGACATTTTCGCCTTGTCAATTAATCTTCCTTTGTCATCTCTAAGAAAAAGGACATAATTTTTCGTATGAAAATCATAACCTTTTTCTAAGAGTTGACCCAAACTCAAAATGTTGCTTTTCATATTGGGCACGTAGTAGACATTCGAAATTAATTGGTGACCCCCATTTTCCAGGGAAATAAGGATGTTACCTTTTCCTTTTAAGGGTATTTTGGATTCATCTCCAAAAGAAACGTTGCCACTCATTGATTCATTGAGCTCTACGAAGATGCTTTTTCTTCCGCACATGTGGTTGCTAGCGCTGGTGTCAAGGTACCATGTATAGTCTTGGTCTCCATCATTGTTCTTGCATGCTAGTAGCACAACACAATTCTCTTCTTTCTCTTCTTTCACATAATTGACCTTCTCATCAAGTCTGCTGTTTGAAGCTCTACATTCCCAAGCATAATGCCCAAACTTTTGACAATTATAGCATTGAACTTGAGATTTTTCATACCTTAAGTTTGAGCGTCCTCTTCCGCGACCTTTTGTTGAGCTTTCTCCTCTTTCGTAGTTGCTATGGTTGTTGAAGTTCCAACCACATCCACGCCCATGTCCACGTCCGCGACCTCGACCACGACTTCTTCCGTATCGGCTTCTCTCGTTGTCGAAGCTTTCTTCTTTCTTCTTTGGCTGAACATGCGTCTTAAGGAGCTGCTCATCATTCCCTTGCCTCTTCTTATGTTTCTCTTCATATGCTTGTAGGGAACCCATTAATTGCTCTATACTAATTTCTTCCAAGTTTTTCGTTTCTTCAATCGTCACGACAATGTGCTCGAACTTGGGGTCCAACGAGCGTAGTATCTTCTCCATAATTCTAACATCTTCTAACTTTTCTCCGTTTCTTTTTAATTGATTGGAAACGGCTAAGACTCTTGAGAAATAATCAGAGATTGATTCAGACCCTTTCATTTGTAGAGATTCGAACTCACCTCTTAATACTTGAAGACGAACCTTTTTCACTTGTTCGGCTCCTTTGTAAGAGGTTTGAAGCTTCTCCCATGCTTGCTTGGCAGATGTTGCACTCGAGACCTTCTCAAAGCCATTGTCATCTAATGCTTGGTAGATGAGATAGAGAGCCTTCTTGTCTCTCTTTCTTGAATCTTTCAAACTATCCTTCTGGGGTTGAGACAGAGTAGCTTCATCTTCTGGCTCAGTGTAGCCTTTCTCCACGACTTCCCAGACATCGTGTGCACCCAAAAGGGCCTTCATTTTGATACTCCAATTATCAAAGTTGTTGTTGTCGAGCACTGGAACTTGGAAGGCTGCCATAGTGTTGCTAGCCATAGCTCTGGTACCACTTTGTTGGGGGTTTAAAAATGCTTTACTACTTGGAGAGGTTTATCTCACAAAGAAAAATGTAACGCAGCGGAATTGATAGGCAAGAGAAAGAAAGAATTCTCAAAGTATTACACAAGGTTTTTATTCACTCACAAACTTAGTACAAAAGGAAACACTCAAACACTCTTAGAAGCTTTGTTGCTTATTCTTACTTCTTACTTGACACTCTCACTTCTTGCTACTTGCTCTCTTGGTTGTTACAAATGGTGTGGATGCCTTCTCCTTTTATAGGCATGGATGAAACCTTGGAGAAGCATGAAAACATTATGCTAGAGATATCTAGATAATTCCACTATCTTCCTAAGCTAAAATTATCTACACTAATCTTGTATGTTGGTGGAATCCTCACCATTCTTCTAGACTCTTCTACCAACTTGAACTTTGCTAGAATTCTCTAGCATGTGCATGGATCTTTCTTTGTGTATGGGCCGGATCAATTATTTTTGGGCCAAGACAAGATTACAATTTAACATGGACACCATCACTGAATTAAACCTCATTGCAAAGAAAGACAGTTTGATGAGCATGCAACACGAGTGTGACGTTCAACATGATGTTCCAGCCGTGTTCTTCTCAACATCGGGCTATACCGGTAACTTTTTTCATGAATTCAACGATGGAATTTTGCCGTTGTACATAACATCCCAGCACTTCGGCAGCAAGATTGTGTTTGTCATTCTTGATTTTCATGATTGGTGGCTCACGAAATATGGAAACATCCTTTCACAGCTGTCAGATTATGCAGTAATAGATTTTGATGAAGATACGAGAACTCATTGCTTCCCTGAGGCCATTGTTGGTTTGAGAATTCATCATGAGTTGAGCATAAACTCTTCACTGATGGAGGGAAATAAGAGCATTGTCGATTTCAGAAATCTTCTAGACCAAGCTTACCTCCCTCGAATCCATTCCCTAATTCGTGAAGAGGAGGAACGTAAAGCACAAGAGAAGTTCTTTGAGTCTATGTACCACACATGGAAAATCCCTTTCAAAGTGGGGATGAAGGTGCATAAAACAGTACATCAACTGAAGAGGCCTACACTCGCGATCATGTCTAGAAACGGATCGAGACCAATAATGAATGAGAACTTCTTGGTGAAAATGGCAGTGAAAATAGGGTTTCAGGTCGAAGTTTTGAGGCCGAAGTGCACCATAGAACTAGCGAAGATTTATCAGGTTCTGAATTCAAGCGATGTTATGATTGGAGTTCATGGAGCTGCAATGACACATTTTCTTTTCATGAGGCCTGGCTCAGTTTTTATCCAAATTATTCCAATTGGAACTGCATGGGCAGCAGAGGAATATTATGGTGCACCTGCAAAGAAGCTTGGTTTAAAGTACATTGGCTATGAAATTCTTACCACAGAGAGCTCACTGTATGATAAATATGAATTAGATGATCCCGTTCTTGCAGATCCAACTAGAGTGACAGAACGAGGATGGCAAATCACAAAGAAGATATATCTGCAAGGTCAAACTGTGAGATTGGATCTCATAAGGTTTAGGAAGCAGTTGGTTGAAGCTTATGATTACATCATTGATAGAATATGACTTTTATGTAAAATATTATACTTGTAAATCAATACTAATACAGCAATCTTCCCTAAGTATCTATGTATTTATCAAAGGGATTTGCCCTCAAGAAAGTCAATGGCTATGCTTTTATAGGGCTAATTGGGTCCTTTAGCCATTTAAAATTCTTGTCGTTACAAGAAGAATGGGAAATGTTCAAATTGGTCAAATTAATTTAATCCAAACTGTTATTGTGAAATGAAATATTATTTTTAGGGAGAATGTGTCAACTAGAGAAATAAATTAACAGAAGAGACTAAGATAAAATAATGTAATTCAATAATTGATAAGTGATAAAATCTAACCTTGATAGAATTTAAATTTTTTTAGGTTGAAATGTTTAAAAATAAAAATTAAGATATCACGTCAAAAAATCAATTGATAAAAAAAGCTATTACTGCGCAATCAAATTACTATGTAATAAACATATAGCCTCAAATACCATAAAAAAGATATATAGCCTCCATTAAAAGAGATTCTTTGACAGAGCCTAAAAATTTCCCAGACTCTAAAATATACTATAATCACAACTTTTGTAGTCATTTATAGAGCCCTCATTGGCATGATCTAGCAACCTTGCAAACGAAGTGCAATTAGCTTTGCACGTAAAGTGCAATATTTATCTTACCCAGAAAATTCATTACCAATCTTGCATGTAAGGTGCATTAACAATCTCTCGCATATAGTTCAATAACAGTATGCAGAAACAGTCATGCACAGAGGTACATGTATAGTATACACACACACACACAAAAGGCACACATACAGTCTGGCACATTGTACAGCGAAGAGGATTGAAACCGTAAAATCTAAACTTGCAACTTACAATCACTTAGTAATATAGTTTAATGATATTTTTATGAGTAATGCTACACTTACCACATATTTGTATTATCATTTTTACTATCTCTCTAATAAATGTAGAGCTCACCAACACAATGTGAGTCACATCTCTATTTGAGAGATGATACAAATATGTGGTAAGAGTAGTATTTTTGTATTTTTATTTACTTGTAAATAAAAGGTATTAGGTTCGGCTATCTACACATCATTTTTACTTTCACACACCTCTTTCAATTTTCAGCCGTCAGATCGAATAAATTGAAGAGAATCATAGAATAGAAATTAACAAGAAGTGTGCACACTACAAAACTTAGAACAAGTAGAGGCTAAAACATTTGCATCTATTAGTTAAAAATAGGGACAAAAAATGAAGATTTCCGTACCTAATAGTAAGGAGGGGCGGATATTAAATTTGCACCTAAAAAAAGCGTTGCAATTGATAAATAGAGATGAAAGTGTACATATTTCCGCCCCTAATAGTTATTATGCCATGTAGGCAAGTGTGATGTGGAAAAAACATTAGGTGCAGATGTTGAAAGCTTTAGGGGCGATTATTAAGGCCCCTACTTTAATAATTTGTATTTAATTGAGTTTTTATTTGTCATATTGCATTTTGGAAATTGTTTTAATTGAGAAACGATTTCCATTCCACCATTAATTATTTGATACGTATTCTCACATTTTCAAAGTCAAGTATATTTATAATTCTTTTCAATTATTCGAAAATTATTATTCAAAACTAATATCATCAGAGTATCTCTAAAGAAGCTGTCAAAATGTCCAAATCAGCTTTAACAGTCATAAAAGGCAGAAACAAAATTTTCCAACCAAGAAGCCAAATCTGATGTGACACGACATGGAATGGCAGGCCACCCCCCTTGCTGTCAAATTTGACAGCAATGTCAAATATTCTTCTGCGCCAAGCTCCTACTCCTTCCCCCATTTTCTAATTCGCTGATACAAATATTCTTGTTCGCCAAGCTCGTACTTCTTCCCCCATTTTCTAATTCGCCGATACCAATATTCTTCTTCGCGAGCTTCTACTTCTTCTCCCATTTTCTAATTCGCCGATACTACCCAATAGTTGGCCATTTTCTAATTCGCCGATACTACCCAATAGTTGGTTTCCTTGGTTCCTCTAGGCTTACCAAAATCCCATCTTTTATTTTACCAATCCCCCAATCCTCCTTTGGTTTTTCTAGGGTTTCATATTTGTTCATCAGATTGGGGATTTGATTTTGTATTTTAATTTTATATTAATCTTTTGCTTAGCTTTTTGGGTTTTTATTTTTAGATACTGGGCTTTTGAATACCATATTGGTTAGTGCTTCTGTAGCAAATGAAAAATTGAACCTTTGAAGAGGAAAATCGAAAATTCTTATCTGGGTTGTTTCCTTTGTTTTTATATGAAAATTCTTATCTGGGTTTTTTTTGGGAAAATTCTTACCTTCGAAGAGGGGTGGGATTGTAAAATATAAATATAAAATAAAAATTATAAAATGAAAATAATGCAATAAAATAATAGTTCAATTTGACATATTGGGTGAAGACTAAAATTTTAAAAGATGTCAAATTACCACATAAGCCTTCAAATTTAAATTTTTATGTTTAAAATTTGACATCTCCTTTAGAGATGGTCTCACCAACGCAGATGAAGAAACGAGAATTAATGCCAACAAATTAATGTTAAAGTTACATTCTTCAATTGATTAGATACAAATGTTACATGATAGGAGTACGATGAATACATGCAAATCCATCCAGTACATAAGGTTCTCTAAAAGTTCTCTCTAAATCCAAATCTAATCAAAGACTTAATCCCTTGATTCAAATACATAACATGATTAAACGTCCATCTTCAATCTCCCCTTGAGGCATATGAAAAGTATGTTTTCCATCTTCACTGTAAACACAAAACACAAGATCATAATAATTGTTACAAATTTTCCCAAAAATAAAAATACGCACTCGAATACTGCCTCCCTTTCCATATCGAATACCAAACAAAACCTACAAAACATATAAAAACAAAAGAGAACACTCAAATTCAAATAGAGACAATTTGGGTTCATAACGTAATCGCACAAAATATATACAAAACTCAAAATCAAAATAACTGGGTAAAGAAAAATAATAAAAATTATTACCTGTATGAACGTTGTAGAACAAGAGAAAAGAAAGAATAAATAAACTTCATAAATCAATCAAAGTTTCAAAATTTCTCAACCCCTAATGATCTCTTTATCTTGATTTCAATCCACCAATGACAAGCATTAAGAAATAAAGAAAAAAGGAGAACGAAAAACGAAGGGAAAGAATAAAGAGAAGGAGAGGAGAGAATGCTATTGATACTTGATAGAGTGAATAAACAACGCAGGAGAGAAGAACAGTTAATATAGGAAGAGATAATGCATATCTGACCTAGGGTTAAATGTTGATACATTTAAACGATGGAAATTAAAATAAACAAAAAGTAAACATTTAAAGAAAGTGGCGATTGATAACGTAATAGAGGGGATTAGGATTAGGGTATTAAATAATTAAATCTTATTGACAATAGGGGCGGTTATTTCCCCTACTAGTTAGTAAAATTAACAGCTGAAAATTGCTCCCATAATAAGGGCTGATTAAAAAGCCCCTAATAGAACTAATAGGGGCAACTAATATTTCTGCATCTAATCTCTACTAATTAATAAAACACTCATTGTCAACCAAAATCCTATGAAATTACTAGTTTAACCCTCTAATTAAAACAAAACATGAATAAGAAATATGGAGCAGAAATGTAATTTCACACAACCAAATTTTGTTGTTTTTTTTTTCAAAACATCACCTACATGTGATCCTAACATATCTCTAATTATTATTAAAAAAAAAAATTCCCAGTCCACATTCTTTATCACTCCATTCCTCTCTCATTTTATTTCAAAAACAAAAATAAAAAATTTCTTGCATACTTTGTGTGTGCCCATATGCTAGTATCTTATTAATAGAGGCGAATTCTTCCATTTGCCCCTAGTTGACCGCACCTAATAATCACTTTTCTTGTAGTGGCGGAAGGTAAAAATTGGTGTATGAATAGCACCACCCTAAGAAAAGATATGGCGTACTAGGAGCTAACAGGAGACTTGTTGCAAAATCGAGCATAGTGGCATTTATACAACCGACCCCACTTAATGGTATAAGACTTGGTTGTTGTTGTACCATTACTAGTTTGGTAGATTTGTCAAAGGTATAAGGAGAAAAATGAATTTGTACTTTCAAAACACTAAAATCTTAATTTAGTGTGTAAGTGGAATTCACTTGTCTTCCATATATCTTAATTTAGTGTGTAAGTGGAATTCGCACTCGGATTAAAGTGGCTGAAAGATCACCTGGCCGACTTACTGCTTAAGCTACGAGTAATCCGGAAAAACATTAAGTTCTGTAACACCGTGGCTACGAGCAATCTCTATATATGTACAACTCGACCTGTTATTACCCAGAAAAGCATTTCGTAGTGCGAAGGTCAACTGCTGAATTCCTCCCATTAGACCAAAACGAGGTCGTTGAGGTACATTCCCACCAGCATGATCCATGATTATGATAAGAGGCAAATAAGATTTAGAAGGACGAAGATTATGGCCACAAGAAAGCTTATGATTACCAAATGGAAGAATAAGGTCCTACGTATGCTATGATACCAATCTGACACGTCCTGATTCTAATGTCCAAGGGATAGCGAGATGGCCACATACTGGGCGACACCCAAGTGTTATGCAAGCCATTTAATGAATTCATATGCCGAGAACATGTGAAACATGCATATAAATTTAATATTCAAATACAACCTTAACCAAATAATATAATAATATTCAGAATACAAGCGGAAGGTGTACAAAAAGTGTTATTACAAGTGATGTCAAAAGCAAAGAGGATGACACGATGTCACTAGTAGGGGAATGCCTCGTAGCTCCGATCATACGCCTCGTTCCTATGTCCTGAGGGGGTGCAAAACAAACATGAGTGGACCAAGTTGATATATAAGTAGTACAAACATAGTTATTCCACAACGTACTAACCCCTAAAGTTTATGAAAACTAATAGTATAATATGTGATTGGTTTTCCAAAAACCCTAGCATGCCATTAAACCTTT